TAATAGGGCTTATCAGTTGAAGACAACAAGAATCAACCTCTTGAGACAGTGTTTGCCTCTGACCAACATCGCTCAAAAGCTGTTCCACTGCCCGATCACTGAGCACTTGCCACTACAGCTGGGTAAGCCTTCCCAAACCTCACACATCAATAAGGCCTCCTGACAGGAACACTTAAAACTATAACACCTGATTGCACAAAGTGGACGCAGCAAACAAACATCATGTGTTTGCAAAGGGCAGCTTCCCAGGGGCCACGTGCCTGGGGAGTTGCAACTGCCGGTATTCACCGTACGCTGCTCGAAAGTGGTCCAGGTCTTGTGGCTATCTGGCCGGTCCAGTCTGCGAGGGATGTGTGTTTTCCCCCGAGAAGTTACATGATGTCACTCAACCCCACGAAACCCACAAAGGAAAATAGTTTACTTGAAAGGAATCCAACAGGCCGCAGGTGCTAAAGGTCAACAAATAGATACAAATAGGCTTTCAAACATGGTAATCTCGTAGTCTCTACGAGATCCACTACAGTTTTGCCCATGCTTGTGCATGACTCGTACAATTATTCATGAACATATTTATATGTAATTCCGGATGGTGATGACCGTCGTCATCATCAGCACCATCCAAAAAGAAGCCGCCTCCACCACCACCAACGCCTCCTTTATCAATAGGTATGTTCTGTTTCAAGTTAAAGTTTCAGCCCAACATGGCTTTCCTGGGTTTGCTCCACGTTCGGGGCACAACCAGAACCAGGTCCCTTGGGCCACAAGTGTTGAGCCAGCTGTTTGGGTATACTGCTCAAGCAAACAATCTGCAACCCTAAGAGACTTGTTTGCCAATGAAGCTCAACATTGGCCGTTGCAAGCATCAACGATCGACTAGTTTAATGTTTTGCTTGGTCGAAGTCAGCCTGGAATTCCTGTGATTTCTCAGCACCAGCTCCCCTGTTACCGCCCGTTGCCTATCGTCAGCCTGAGCTGTTTGAACATCAACATCTGCTTGGAGCTCCTGGAGGTGTGTGATTTGCCCTCAAGTCATCCAACCACAAAGAGTTCCCAGCACATGGCTATTGTAGAGAATATGCAGATGACTTGGGGTTATCTAATTATCACCACTTCATTCTCTGCAAGTCATCTACAGAATTGGATAATACATGGAGAATATGGATAACCCGAATGGCCATCCCTGCCACTGCACGCTGCGCCACTGGCCTGCACGATGCTTGATTCCCAGCTTGGATTGCTTGGGCAAAACACGGTTAGTATCCTCATTTTGTAGTCTGCAAATTTGCAGTAGCCACACAGTCACATATGCATTGGAACCTGTGCGTGTATGTGTATCAACTGGATATGGTGAGTCGTAGAGGCCAGTATCCGCAACAACTTAGTATGTAGGTATGTACTAGCCTACTGTTATACTATGTTATACTCAGGGCTCCTTAAGTTTACGATTTATGATTCTGAAAGTATGGAGCTGCTTTCCCGAATTGGGCACATCCATCCATCCTCCTGTGTTTTGCTCGTGCAGTTCACTGGTGCTGCCAAGTCACTCATCTCCTCGAGTGCATCTTTTATAGTTTCTCCTCGGAGAACAAAAGGCTGGGCGGCTGGAGTCTCACATCTGCAATGAACTAATGGACTAGACTGTATGTATATATATATATATACACATGGCATACACTGCACACCCACAACACCATGAACTGTTCCAAAGGTGGTCAACTGATACCAATATCTCTCTGTGCCGATGCTGTTTCTGGTTTGTAGCGGCCTTAGATTAGCACCAGCACTATCTATTGTTTGCAATTTGTTCCATGCTCTGGCTTAAAACGGTCAAACAGCGAACACACCACCCAAGCACCAAGCCTATCACGAAATTCTAGTGGTTGGAGAAAGCTTGGCTGAGACCCAGTGGTTGGATCACCCAGAAAGCTTCGCTGATAGGAAGTTACCTAAACCTCATGTCTGCTGGTAGTTTTAAATATATTGTTTTATCAACAGTTTACATGAGATCAAAGAAAATGGTTGTCACTTTTTTCAACTGCAAGTCAGGAACAAACAAGGATCAACATAGCTTCTATGAGGGTAGTTGGACACGCCAAAACCACGCATCTCCTCAGCACCTACGGTGCCACAGGCAAAAGTTCAAGACATGAACACATGTGACCCGCAATAAGGGAAACTGTATGGCTCCGCACTTGATCGGGCATTTGGAGTCGACACGAATGTCCGGCAGCCCATACAACTGTGGGGAGATAGGACAAATTGGCCATTGGTCCAACAAGTCTTCCAACCACACACCTGACTAGTCTGGCGCATTCTGGCGCAAAGCAACACCTGACTATCGGCCGCAACGACCGGGCCGTCGACAGGGCCGTTCACCTCGTAGGTTGACGGCAGCTGCCGAGTGTCAGAAGTTGCCCTTTCGAGTGATGCTGCATGGAATCTTGAATCGCCAACGCAGCGCATTCCTGAGTTCTGCGTGTTTCAAAAAAACGGGGCGCAGGTGTGTCTAGAGACGCGATCTGTTTGTTCAGTGAAACATGAAAGGTTGCAGTGGCAGACAAGTAACTTTTGTTCCTTCATGTATATGACATATACCCTTTGCATCCCTTTTCCACCATTTGTCTTTGACACCCGCGCGTACACTCACTGTCCTCTGCAATTTTGGGTATCTCGGAACTATTTGTCTGTGAAACTCTAACAGTTGCCTGCAGTAGGAAGTTCTTGCTCGATCTCTTTGCCAAGAAGCCTTCACTGAGTCATCAAACCTGCCATTATCGTTGCTGCAAACCATTCAACTTGTGAATGTTCAAGCAAGAAGGCCCTCCTTTCTTTTCCCACGGGAAAAGAGGCAAGGTTTCTTTGCTGCAAGTTTGCAAAAACAAACCAACATTCCTTGCTGCAGGGACATCCAAACTTGGGACCCTGGGATGTGTGATCCAGTGAATCCGATCTGACAGTGTCCCCTGCATGTATTCCATTGGAACGGCTTCAAGGGGTAGTTGTCCAAAGGCTATCCCGACTTGACCTTTAAAACATGCAACTTGCCTAAACAACTAAGAACCAAATAAATCATGCAAAGGGTTCCTCAATCAAACTGGCGGGGGAGTTTCCTTGAAGAACCGTTCGCCCTTCTGCGCACCAAGCCTAGTAGCAAACATGCTACTAGTGGCGTACCCAGCCAACAGCTACTAGCTCCTTACACCTTCTGACAGGACACCTCTCAAGGCCTACTATTCCCCCTAATCAAAAGCATGTATCTTGGACCAATAGCATTACCATCGCTATTCTGCACATGAACATTACCATTTGGATGCCCAGTGCCATCAGCATTATCATTAGCATCAAACCCTCACAAGTCAAAGGGTGAATGGCATTACCATCACAATTGCCATTAGCATTACCTTTGCCACCGGTCACAGGGTGCACGCATCAGCCTCCCACTGGTCACAGGGTGAATGGCATCAAGCTCTGAAAGGTCACTGGGTGCATGGCTCTCACAGGTCAAAGGGTGAATGGCATTCCACCACCATTGCCAGAGCATTACCATTGCCATTAGCATCACCACAGGTCATGGGTAAATGACGCATTACCAGAACCACTACCATTACCAAAAGAATTGCCATTGCCATTACGATTCTCGTTGCCACAGGTAAAGGGTGAATGGCATCAAGTTCCCCAGGTCACAGGGTTGATGGCATCAAGCTCCCACAGGCCACAGCATAGCTCCCACACGTCAAAGGGCGAATGGTATTCCATTACCATTGCCATGAGCAGTACCATGGCCATTAGCATTGCCACAGGTCAAGGGTGATTGGCCATTACCAGTACCAATACCATTAGCATCAACCTCCCACAGGTCACAGGGAGATCACACAGGGTGAATGGCACTACCATCACAGTTGCCATTCGCATTATCATCACCATCTGCGTTACCATTGCCACAGGTCAACGGTGAATGGCATAAAGCTACCAGGGGTCAAGGGTGAATGGTTGTAACAAAAGAAGGCTCCAAACTTCTGTGGGAAGCATCCAGGACCGATTACAATACCACACCCAATGCTAGCTAGACCTATTGCAACTAAACAGTCCAAGAAAACACACACCCATAGCGTCCCGCTCTCAATCAAAAAGGGAAAGCTGTACGTGGTTGAGAAACAACTTGAAACCCAAGCATGTATCGCTCGATGAGGCTCTGGGTAGCTAAGTGCTCGGTGTCTATGGGACTCTCTCTGCCTTTGTCGTTCCGTGTTTCTTCGAGACTGACACCCGCTTGAATTGAACCTCCATCACTCCAGAAACAGTGTCAGTAGGGGGAAGTGGAAGTGGTACAACCTACTTAGGACTTAGGCGGCACGGACAAGTCCCTATGTATATATGTGTTTGTAATATGTGTTGACTGACACAGGAGCAGCCACATAAATGTATGCGGAACATAGATGAAAATAGTGGCTACTGTGTCTGGAAGTAGGGAGGGTAACTAGCCAAAATGAACATGTTGATGAAATGCATCCAAATAGTACCGACATCATGATTCAAGTGTCAGGGCGCGAGCCATTGTGTTGACTCATCTTGTGGCAAAATTGTAGACAAGAATCGGACAATCATGAGATGGGGAAGGTGGCATAGACTCTAGAATACGAGAGGCCGTCGCCTGAAGTGGGCAGAAGAAACATCAGGATGATGCCACCAAGGTCGAAAGGTTCCAGCTGGAAAGTAGTTTTGCTGAAATGCAAAGGTGTCACCGGGTGGACCTGGGTGAACTCACCCTCTCCCTTCCAAGCCTTTTGGCAAGCTGGCCCAGAAAGGCTAGCACATCCTCACGCACCTGCATGGTCGAAGAAAGGGATCGCATTGTGTGGACACTGTTGCCATGGGTATATCATCAAGGTGCCAGTGTTCATTAAACAAAGTCACCAAGATTCAACCAACGGGACCACTCTTGACTTCAAGTGTTTTCACTGGCCACAGTGTTACCAACCAAGTGAGTTGTTGTTTGGGTTTCAACAAGCTGGGGAATTGGCAACCGGCCAGCCAATCTGACGATCAAAGAGGCTCTCTGCCTCCAGTCCTTTGCTTAGATCTGCAATCACAAGCACTTCCTCCTGCCGCGCTTCCATCCTTGCGCCACCAAACCCGTTTGAGTGGCGCGGGAACCAAAACAGGACACTTTCATATGAAGACATCGTTCCTCGACCTCTCCAAGACAGCATATCAAATGTGTTCTTCAGAAAGAACTCTGTCTTTCAGCACTCATGAAGTTCAGCAAAGTCCCATTCATTTGTTTGTCAATCAAGCCAACGGGAGTTAGTATGTTGCTGAATTTCAGGAAAGGATGCAATACCCAACTGATTTTAGCAGTGTTTTGTTCTGTCTGGTATATGTGTTCAACAAACACCATATTCATCTTTCATGTATCATTGTCTGGTCCAACCACAACATTGGTTCCCATGTCATCAACACGTGTTTGTGAATGCCCTGTCTTTTCGAACTGTTTGTGCATCAAAACGGGGTATGTATTCCCCCAACTGTGGTCTCTCATGTTGTAACATGCACGAACACACATATTTTGAGGTTTTACTGATTTCATTCAGAAGTTGTTCTGCATACCTGCCCACTTGTCACCCGCCCTTTCCACAAACAAGTTGCTGCTTGCGAAGCTGTGCCCGGAAATGTTGCAGCAAAGCGGTGAGCAGCTCTACAAGTGCCTGATCACGTTCACGCGGGATGTGTTGAATACGGGCGTGTTTCACATGGGAAAGCACTCGGCCAAAAGGTGACCCAGTCTGAAATTTGAAGTGTGGAGGTGAACCGCCCATTTTACCCGAGTGGGCTGACCCAAACCCGAAGCTTCCAGGGAATGACGCACCCACAGCAAGACTCAAGCAGCACGAGCTTCAGAACTGGAACCCTCGCCAACCCAAAAAGGTGTCCCAAACCCCAGCTGGTTCCCCGCCTGAGTTTCTAACACCTCTGCCGCCGCCCGGGTGGGTGTCGAAAGCTTTCGCCAGAGTGCTTGACGGAAATCCTCCTGAAGAAGTGAACTACAACGGCATGTAGCGGGCTCCCATCAGAAGGGAAATTATTCTCGAGACAAGCCTTCTGGAACGATACAATCAAACATGCATAGACTCTCCCGTACAGGGATAAATCAAGTTCCTCGACACTTGCTTGCCCCCCACAAAATGAACAGAACACCCTCCAAAATTGTATGTTGTTTTAAATTACAATTGAACATCTATCTATATTTAAAATATATATATATATATATTAAGAAACATGTTTATATATAAACTATCTATCTATCTATCTATCTATCTATCTCTCATCTATTTATCTATCTATCTATCTTTCTTTCTTTCTTTCTTTCTCTCTCTCTCTCTCTATCTATCTCTCTATCTCTCTCTCTCTCTCTCGCTCTCTGTCCGTCCGTCCGTCCGTCCGTCCGTCCGTCTGTCGGTCTGTCTGTCTCTCTCTGTCTGTCTCTGTCTGTCTGTCTCTGTCTGTGAGTCTCTGTCTGTCTGTCTCTGTCTGTCTGTCTCTGTCTGTCTGTCTCTGTCTGCCTGTCTCTGTCTGCCTGTCTGCCTGTCTGCCTGTCTGCCTGTCTGCCTGTCTG